GTTCCTGCAGAGACTTTGCACCAGCCAAGACAGAGGCTGGTTCCCAGCAGCAGCCCTTGTCCAAGGGGAAATCTGGCTTCGCTGCAGCCTCCCCCTTACCCTCCCTTTCCTCCAACAGCCTCTGCCCACAGGGAGCAGGGCCCCCCAGCAGACAAGGGCTGCTGCCACCCCACTCAGCTGATACAGAAGCAGCAGGTTAGGGCAGCAGGCAGACAGTCCACAAAGGAAGATGGTTTTCAAACTGCCTCCCTTTGCAGATCAGCTCCAGTCTGACACCCTGCACTGCTGCCTTTGATACAGGGCAGTAGTGCAGGACAGCCTCTGCCCACAGGGAGCAGGGCCCCCCAGCAGACAAGGGCTGCTGCCACCCCACTCAGCTGATACAGAAGCAGCAGGTTAGGGCAGCAGGCAGACAGTCCACAAAGGAAGATGGTTTTCAAACTGCCTCCCTTTGCAGATCAGCTCCAGTCTGACACCCTGCACTGCTGCCTTTGATACAGGGCAGTAGTGCAGGGTGGCAAGGGGCTCCACAGGAGACTCCAGCCCCACCACTGGAGACTACAGAATAGTCAACTAACCGCTAAGAATTCATGTGGTTACTCAACTATTTTATTGCCCACTATCTAACATCCCTACTCTGAACACATCTATTAAATGTGCAGCGTAGTCCAAAAAATGAACAAAAAGATGTGAATCATTAAGGAACAGATAAGAAGACAGAAAATATCATATTGCCTCTATATAAATCCATGGTATACCCATATATTGAATACCGCATGCAGATTAGGGATGTGAAAGTGTAACCGTATATAGTTAACCAATGAGCCTGGGCTCATCGGTTAACCTTCACATTTACAAATTGGCTCCCTGCATGCACCAGCTCCCTGGGAGCCGCTGCCCTCCTGCCTGCCCCTCCTCCTCTGTTGATACAGAGGCAACAGTGTGGAGAAAGGGAAGGCAGGAGCTGAGTGCTCCCCTGCATGCAATCTCTGACATTTTCAGCAGTTACACAGTTACTTCATTAAATGCATTTTCACATCCCTAACGCATATGTGGTTGCTCGGATTCAAAAAAGACATACTGAAATTGGAAAACATTCTAACAAGAGCAGCAAAAATTATTAGGCATATGGATAGACAAGTCCTATAAAAAGAGATGAATAAGATTGGAACTCTTCAGCTTGGAAAAGAGACAACTAAGGGAGGATATGATTAATGTCTATTAAATCATGACTGATGTGGAGAACTTAAATATGGAAGTGCTGTTTGTTCCTTCTTATATCACAAAAACTAGGGATTCCCAAATGAAATGAATAGGCAGCAGGTTTAAAACAAACAAAAGGATGTATTTTTTCAAACAACATGCAGTCAATATGCAGAACTCTTTGCCAGACAATATTGTAATGGTCAAGACTATAACAGCATCCAAAAGAAAATAGAAAAATTCACAGAGAATAAGTCCATCAATGAATATTAGCCAAGATGGGCAGGGATAGTGTCTGTCAGAAACAGGGAATGAGCAACAAGGGGTGGATCTCTTAACGATGACCTGTTCTGTTAATTCCCTCTAGGGCACATGGCATTGGCCATTGCTGTAAGACAGGATATAGGGCTAGACCAACTTTTGTATGGCTATTCTTATGTTTTGATGATATGGATAGTTATAGAAGAGGCTACCTAATGAAGTTATGGAATCCCAGTCATTGGAGGTTTTTATGAACATGTTAGACAAACACCCGTTAGAATTGTTTAGGCATTCTAAATCCCACCTCCGTATAAGAAGGATGTATTAGATGACCTTTTCAAGTCCCCTAATGCTCTACATCTCTGTGCTTGTTTCTAATGTTCTGTGTGATCTAGAGCAAGATTAGCTTTCAAATCTGTGGATTTCAAATCTGTGGGTTTGTACACTGAGAAAAGAAAGCAAAATTAAACTTCCCATTACAGCTAAAATCCTCCATCTTTGCGGAGAGAAAGTGGGAACATGAGGATACATTTCAAAGCAGGCATCAGCAACTCACCTCTTCTTATCTTCCTAGACAGTTTTACACATAAAATTGGAAAAATCAGCAGGTTAGTAAATATGAAAGCTGTCAAGCTGAAAGAAAGGTGAAGAACGTGACTTAATGGCAAAACATTTTGGGTAAGTTCAGTGGCATTATTTCATGATGTGATGCTGTTTTGAGACAATATCTGAGACCGCAAGTGACATTAACAAATCTGACAGATAATCTTATCTAACGGTGAGTATCACCATTCAATGTCAAAGACTTAACAGCAATGTAAACTAGAGTAAATACATATGGGAAGCTTTTAAACAAGGGTTTCCACTCCTAAATGAATTTCAGATACTAGATTAGAACATAGAAGGCAGGGGGTAAAAATTGGAGTTCTGTCCTGTAGTCTCTATATAGATATATTTAAATTTTAAATAGAAGTTACAGCAACACTCTCCAGAGCATCCCAATAGCTACATTCTTTTTTCCTGTATGGTGTCAATGGTTCTAGGCACATTTTCCTTACAAAATGTCTAACTCAAAAATGAAGACCTTTAAAAATGGTATGGCCAGTGATCATGGTAGCTTAATGCTACCATGCCACCGATGTCAACTATGCACAAATGCTTTTTTTAAAACTAAGAGCCCTGTACAGCTATAAGCATTTATTTTTGGATGGAGACTAAGATGCTAAGTATAGATTTCACATGTTTGTTATCTGGACTCTTCAGATGTTGATCAACAGGTGTAAAAAGTATTTTCCAACTACATTACTTTTACATAAACAGTGAAAGTATTTTGGGGCATATGAAACACTTAAAGATGCACCTTTCACAATGTACAAACTACAAATAGTATCAGAAATAAAAGCTATAACACGGCTTTAACACTTTTTGTCCAAAGACACGTCCCAGTCAGCTATTTAGGTTTCTTTCATGATATTAAGGCACACTATTTGAAATCTAAAACATCTCAACATAATCTGTTAAAAGACAAGTGATAGAAATGTAGCCGTGTTAGTCTGGTGTAGCTGAAACAAAATACAGGACTATGTAGCACTTTAAAGACTAACAAGATGATTTATTAGATTATGAGCTTTCGTGGGCCAGACCCACTTCCTCAGATCAAATAGTATAGAAAATTAGACACCACCCTCTACAGAAAACCCACTGACTCATACAGTTACCTACATGCTTCCAGCTCCCATCCAGCACACACCATACGATTCATCATCTATAGCCAAGCCCTTCGATACAACCGCATCTTCTCTAATCCCACTGACAGAGACCAGAAACTTCAGGATCTCTACCAAGCATTTATAAACCTCAACTACTCACAAGGAGAAATAAAAAAGCAAATTGAAAGAGCCAGACGA